TGAGAAGGTGTGGGAGAGGGGGTGGGTAAGGGTAGGAGGAGTTGGAAGAAGGAGTGTCCATTTCTAAAGGAGGGAGGGTCGAGTGTTTAGCTGTTTCCACGCTTTGATTTTCCTCCTGTATAGTCCGCGAGCCGGGTTTGATTCATCGTGTTGTTGGTTGAGTATCTGGAGAAACGGTCAGCGAGAAGAAACCTGTCTGCTCAAACTGAAATACGGTAACACCTGCTCTAACGGCCACCTGTATAAGACAGTCACTTGAACAAACGGCCGTTTTCACCCCCTCAACCCCTTCACCGTTGTATGTAGTGCGTGCTTGTGTGTTTGTGTGTTTGTGTACGTGTGTGTATGTGTGTGCGTGTGTATGTGTGTGTATGTGTGTGCGTGTGTGTGTGAGTATGTGTGTGAGTATGTGTGTGTGTATGTGTGTATATGTGTGTGTGTGCGTGTGTGTATGTGTGTGTATGTGTGTGTATGTGTGTGCGTGTGTATGTGTGCGTGTGTGTGTGTATGTGTGTGTATGTGTGTGTGTGCGTGTATGCATGTGTGCGTGTGTATATGTGTGTATGTGTGTGTATGTGTGTACGTGTGTGTATGTGTGTGTGTGCGCGCGTGTGTATGTGTGTATGTGTGTTTGTGTTGGGGTTTTTTTTACATTATCATGGTACTGTGTAAAACGCCCTCCTGTCTAAGACGGTCACTTTTCTCCAGGACAACAGATGACCGTTTTAGACAATGTCAACCGCTCTTTTGTGACAGTGAGCACAGAGATTTTAAAAACCCTGAAGCTTTAGTGTGAGCGTGGTCAGTCCTTCTATATATATATAATAGTATATGGATGCGGGAGCTGGACTTTAAATGGTAATGCTTAAGGACACAGAAAGAAGTCTGGAAAAGGTCGAAATGTGGTATCTGAGGAGAAGGCTCAAAATCTTATGAAAAGTGAGAAAAATAAGTTATGTATATGTCCTGCAAATCGTAAAAAATAACATTTCAATGTCTCAAAGAGACAGTTGTGATTATTTGGCAACATATATGTAAAAACTGGACAAGAAGAAACGGCATAGCTGGCCACTCTCCCCGACCACCCGTATTTTGTACGGATTTTCTTGAAAAATCTCTGTTGTCCCGGAAATACGGATTGTGACCGACGGTCTCGGAAAATAATAACTTGGTTGCGAGGCATACTTCTCAAACAGAAAATTTAGGCCTTCTGTTGCTTGGGACAACGGATGGAAATTCGGGAGATTCCCGGAAAATTCGGGAGAGTTTGGAGGTGTGCGGTTTCGACAAAGTCAGCTGGAACGCATGCGCGGCCCTCGGCTTCTTCACTCGTTTGAAAAGATAGCGTCAAAACGTTCGGCGATGAGTTCTGAGTCCGACTCCGGACCAAGTAAGGCAAAGAAACCGAAAAGGCAGCAAGTTTTTCTTGACAAATACAAGGTGTCCATGGTAATTAGTTAAGTCCCTGATTTTGAGCAAGGCTGTCCCTGATAGCCACTGAGGGGGGGGCAGTTATGCAAATGATGTAGTGTGGATATATCATAGAGGGAAGGAAGAGAAGAGGACGACACAATACAATATTGTGTAGCAAAAAAAAAAATTATTGTGCTGTTAATAACTGTATATATCCATTAAACATACACCCACGGAGGCACAAACAAACAAATACACACACAAACACACATACAACAAACACACGGTCACACACACCCAAACACACACTCACTCATATATGACTAAATACTATCGTATAACTCCAACAATAATATCATTCATTTCTACATTTCGTAAAAGAAGTGACGACCAAAAAAAAACGAAACAAAACAAAACAAACAAAGCGAAACGTAAAAAACAAAAAGAAAAGAAAAAACAAAACAAACAAGTAACAAGAAAAAGAAAAAGATCCTTCCTCAAGGCCATACCCAATCTGAGAACCCGGGTACATTCCCAGGTAAACAAAGAAATCTGGACATTCCTGGTGATCCCCCGGATGAACAAAGAAAACATCGGCCATGTTTGTAGGAAGGATCTACCCCGCGATGTTTGAACAAACAACATGAGCCGCTGAGGCGGACATGATAGCACTGGACACAGGCTTTGGTCACACCAGTTGCTGCCCTTCTTGCTCCTGGCCTCGCCGACAGACCAGCGACGGAAGTATGACGTCATGAGAAAAAGATGGCGGCGTCTCCCGAGAAGTCTATTAATAGCCAGCACCTCCTGACCAAAGATCACTAGAATCTTTGTCCTGACTGCAGGCATGTAAAACATTATTTAATTTGTTTGTCGGTTCTCAAACTGAAGTGTGACGTCATAAAGAAAGATGGCGTCTCCCGGAAGAAGTCTATTTATAGCCAGTGGCCATTGCAGAGTAATTAATTATTGTAGAGTCAAAATTGTCAAAGACGGTGACTCACTACCGAGGAGAAAGTAGACGTCTAAGACAGGTGGACGTACACTTACCCAGTCTCATTATTATGTTTTAAAAAATCTCACACAAAGGGGAAATTGGAAGTGCCCGTTTGTACAGGTGATTGTCTTATACAGGTGGCTGTCTTTTACAGGTGGCTGTCTTGCACAGGTGGCTGTCTGGTACAGGTGGCTGTCTTGTACAGGTGGCTGTCTTGTACAGGTGATTGTCTTATGAAGGTGACCGTTAGAGCAGGTTCGACTGTATGTATATATATAATAATAATAATATAACGTAAATCCCCTCTCAACAGCAAGCTCTAAGCGCTTCACAATCTATACTATTACCCCAGCAGACCTGAGAGCATTCTGAAACAAACTCAACTTCCTGGGAAGCATACAGTGCAAGCAGCCATTTATAGGCGCTAAAATGCTAACATACTGACAAGATTTTTCGCTGTCTATGGCCGGTACCCGTTCCCTTCTGGGTGAAGTGAGAAAAATTCGCGTAAAGTCAAAGTGTCTTTCCCAAGGACACCCGCACCCGCAACTTCACAATGACGAGTCCGGTAGCCTAAC